TGGAAATTAGCTTTCAGCTATTGAAACACATTGACTTAAACACACACAACAGAAAATGTGGTCTTATGGCACATTGGCTATTTATGCACCTATAAATTAGCCCATTATATATACTGATAATCAGCATCTCAAGGAACTCACTGATGATCATGGCAGCATGGTATGAAAACATTGAAAGTGCAGAAACTGGTTCTGTTTTAAGGACATTGCAATAATAGCACTGAATTATAGAGTATCTACTTTATGACAGATGTCGTGCTATAAGTTGGTTTACCTCAGACCTTCATAATAACCCTGAAACGTGGGAAACTCAAGCTCATAAAAGGAAGGGAACTCATCCTGGATAATACAGATAACAGTGCTAGTGCCAGGATTCCATGCCAGATGTTTTGAGCTCAGACATTCCCAACTTTAGACCACACGGTCCTCGCCATCAATGACAGTCGTGTGTAGCAGCGAGCTTGCTGCCTGTGGGCGGTCACCTAGGAACAGGGCTACCCGCAGCGCAGTGTAGGGGAATCTATCCCCAGAACCCTTGCCCACACTGAGAGTTATTTTCTTTTAAAGAATATTGCTGATTTGACAGATGAAATATGATGGCTCATGTTAACTTGTATTTTTTTTTTTTTCCAGATGTGGGTTCAGATTAGTTTCCTTTTTGTGCACTGTCTGACTCGAGTGCATGGTATTGGGTAAAAGACAAAGACAGGTTTGTTTCTTTGAACCATTAAGCTGAGGAAGGGGAAAAGAGTAATAAGATTTTGAGCGCTGATTTCATATTTATATATGAATCAGTCATCAAGGTAGGGAAGTACAAATTCCTAGTCACCCTCAGCAAAAGATTACAAAGCATATATATTTTTGTTCAGTTGCTCCAAAATTGTGTCTCCCAACTGCTTGGTGTCTGGGAATAAAACTGAAGTCACTAGCAAAATGTCTGTTTTGATATATCGGGAACAAAAAGACCAAAACTAATGACTTCCACGACGGAAGGTGCCCTGGGAAATATGATACAGAATAGTGGAATCGGGGGCTTGTTTACTATGATTCTGTGTATCCATCTGATGGGGAGTATAAATAGGTTTCTTTACACAAAGGGACCCAAGGAATAGTGAATCGGGGAATAATTGACTTGTCTCGGTATGTTTGTGAATGTGCATTTTTATCTGATGGCAAATATGCTGTTGGCCTTTGAGTCAGTCACCCACCATAAAATTTCCTCAGCCTCCTATGCACCGAGATAGTGTGCCCATCCCCCCCCAAGAAAACATTTCAAATTAGCATTAATCATCCAATGTCGTGGTTGGGGCCCTACGGTGAAAGCCACCCACTGCAGCTGAATGCCATTCAGCAGGCAAGGAGTGATTTGCAATATAATTTAAATGAAGACTTGGTTTCTTTTCCCATTTAGAACACACCAGTATGGAAAACTGATTGTCAGACATTCTGGTGATGTGCATCAACTTGGCTATTCACTCAGAAAATGAAGTTTCCTGAGACACCCGCACATTTAATTTATTTTTTTCCCTATGAAGTTAACTTCGGCTTGTTAAATACAATGACTATCCAAACCACAGAAAAAGCAACACCATTAATTTTAATGCTTATAATGTAATGGAAGGAGATTATATTCATTTGGGATTCTTTCTCCTTTTAATAGAATGTTTACTTGCCCCTCTCCTTATGAGTTAATTATTATTTTCCCTCCATAATGCTCTGCTTATATCTGAACAGGCAAACAGTGTGTCTGTTAATGTCTTGAGTTTATGAATTGCTGGTGAATAGCTGGCGAATCTATCATTTTGCAATGTCTATCAATAAAGCATCAATAGCTTGTCAGTGCAATGAGTGACTATGTGGCTGACACAAATGCAACTAGTTCCTTCCAGAACCCTCCCATTTATGCTGATAAAACACTTAGTTTTTGAACAGTGTCTTTCTATGCTTTGACTGGCAGATTTAAGGACTTTTCAGTGAATTATATAGTAGTAAGCTAAGAATTGATGATTTCTCTCATCATTTGGGTATTTATGTTTAATTTATTTATTTATTCAGTAGCATGCTAAGCCCATGTGAGCACCCAGCTTATATTAGTAGTGTGCTAAGTATTAGGGGATAATGATTGAGGCATAGTCCCCATATTCATGGAGCCCACAGTTTTGAGCAAAAACTGCAACAAGGAATTGTAGCACAGGTGTAGTGGAATGAGTGGTACAGGAGAACTGGGTATAAAAGGTAACAAAAAGGGCATGCAATGGAGAGAGCTTGGCCTGCAAAGGGGACCATCAAGGAGAGCTTTGCAGAGTAGGAGATGTCAGAGCTGGATTTTAGAGACCTACACCTTGAGTTCTTTCAGTTGACAGAATGATGGGTGCGAATGTGAGAAGACAATACAGGTAGAGGAATAGCATGTACAAAGTTGTAATGAATACCCTTTGTTGAACACCTTCTGTATGTTTATTAAATAATAATAATAAAAAGCTGACATTTTCTAAACTCACCATTTGCCAAGCACCGTTTCAAATTCTTATAACTGCAAACTCAAGCTTTACAATGACACTGCGAAGTAATTATTATGAGCATCTTTTACAAATTAAAACTGATGCCTGAAGAGTTTTGGTAACTTGCAAAATATCACACAGCTGGTAGGATCAGGACCAAGACTGGAACCCATGTTCTTTGAGCCCAAAGCCTATACTAGTTTAAATATTACTTTCATGGCCTCTTTGCTCTCTAGAGCCCTTAGTACAGCTGGGCAAATAAGACATGCAAATAGTGACTGCTGTTCATGACTGTCTAAAAGGGGATAACAACAGAACCTGTGATTTGTGGAGAGGATTAAATGAGCTAAGTATACAAAGTGCTTAGAACAGTGCCTGGTACATAGTAAAGAATTCCTTAACTGCTGGTATTATGAGGATTAATGTCTTAAGAGTAGCAGAGTCCAATACTACTTAGGTATTTAGAGATGGGGTCATTGGCCAAGGAACACTTTGTGGTATTGTTGGCATTTGATGTAGACCTGGATGGCTTAATGGTAGAATTCCTAGTGATGGGGCTTGGGGATAAGGGGATTATTTCAGCAAGAAGGAATAGAATGCAGAAATGATAACAGGCTGGAAAATCCCATTATGTTTAAGAAAAGTGAATAGACTAATATAATGATAGCAGAGGGGCTTTAAAGAGTAGCAGGGAGAGAAAGGTCAAACAGGTAGAAATTGATTACAACTAATGATATTTGTTGAGTGATGGGCACTGTTTATATTTTGTATTATTTAATCATCACAAAGTTTTCCTGGAGTTACAGACTTTTTCCTTTTGAAGAAAATGAGGTTCAGAGAAGTTATGTAACTTTCCTAAGGTCACCCAGTTAAAGAGTAGTAGAACTTGGGATTGAACACAGGTCTATTTTTAAATGCTATGCTCTTTTGACTACACTATACTTTCATTTTTATGTTTTTAACATAACTTATGTTTTTAACATATCATCAATATTTATATAATAATTTTTCTAGTGAAAGGGATAGAAAAAAGTAAGAAAAATGTGTTAACGTGTTCTTCCTAGGGTTCTGCTTATCAATCACGATAGCCAAACATTTCCCCAGTTAATAGCCTGTGTCTACTTTCATTAAGATGGAAAGGGCTAGTCTCTCTCTGTTTAATTTCCTATGCACACACACCTCCCTCAGGCTTCCTATTTGTGTGTACCTGGTATAACACATACCATCAATAATATACCATCCCCCGGAATGACAGCTAGTGGTTAAGAGTTTGGGCTTTGAAGAAGGACTGACAGGTGCCAAAGCTGGAATTCTGGCTCTGTTCTTCATAGCTATGGTCACAAACAAGTTTCCTAAATTCCCCGTGTTTCTCTTTCCTTTACTGTTTAATGATACCAATAATAGTGCCTACATCAGTGGATTGCTGTTAGGAATAAATGGATTGATACATACAAAGACTAAAATCTGTGCTTAAAATGCTATGATCATTCATTAAATATTAGCATTATTATTGTCATTATTATGGCTTATATCTCATGTCTCTCCAAATAAAGATCTGTGATCAGCTCTGTGGATGAGTGTCTTAGTCCGTTTGTGTTGCTCTAAAGGAATAACTGAGGCTGGGTGATTTACAAATAAAAGAGGTTTATTTTTCTCACTGTTCTGCAGCATGGTGCCAATATCTGCTTCTGAGGGGGGCCTCTGGCTACTTCCACTCATGATGGAAGGGGAAAGGGATCCCACAAGTGCAGAGATCACATTATGAATGAGAAAGCAAGAGAAAGAAAGGAGGGATGGGTCACACTCTTTTTAACAACCAGCTGTTATGGAACTCAGAGCAAGAACTCACTCATTACTGCAGGATGGCACCAAGTCATCCATGAGCAATCTGCCTCCATGACCCTAGCAGTTCCCATTAGGCTCCACCTCAAATATTAGGGATCAAAGTTCAACATAAGTTTTGGAGGGCAAACATCCAAACTATAGCAGTGAAGGTATGGAAAAGTTATGCTTTTATACATTGCTCAGGACAGTATAAAATTGTATATCCTTTGTGTATGGTAATTTAACAATATGAAAATTTAAAACATATATTTTCTTTACCTAATAATTTCACTTCAGTGTTTTTATCCTACAATTAGATTCATCTAAGTGAAAAAATGTATAATTCTAACACTTTGACTTTTAGCTTGTGTATATATAACAGTCCATATTTTAAAGATAAAGATTAAGGAATGCTTTGTACTTTCTCTGCTTCCCATAGTCTGGTACATGCTAGGCACAAAGACCCTGACAAATACCCTTTCACTTAGCCCAGCACAACTCCCTTGGGTCTCTGGGGCCATGCCCACCTACCTGTACTCTACCCAAGTTAGAATGATATGCTTCATCCTGAACCACTCGCTTCCCTGCAAACCCCATTGTGATGACCAGCTTTGTATTTTATCTTCCTTTTTCCTTCAGTGTGCTTTCAAAATTGACATACTTTTTTCATTGCAGCTATTTCCTTGGCTTCTTTCGATGACGATTCCTGACTCGTGGCCCTGGCAATCTTGGGAAAACATTATCCGATTTCTTCGATCCAGACCCCAGGGTCCCCTTTTCCCCAGCATCACCCCCAGCCAGCCTGGACACATTGATTGCCTCATCTTCTAGGAAATTCGTGAGTAAAATGTTTGACTCTGTTATGAAAATAGCTCAAATCATCCTCTTCCACCACCCTGTCCTCCACTTTTGAGCATGATGTTTCCCTAGAAAACTGTTCTGATTCTCTTCCTTTCTGGAACTAACTGCCTATCCTATAGTTAATGCTTGAAGGTTTATTATTTGTTTAATCACTGACTTATTCAATGAGGTAGTAGCCAGCAGAGTCTGCAAACTGAAAGGCACATGCCTTTGTTCTCCTCTTGTGTGGTTCCATTCAGGGTTACTTGTCTCTGACTTAGATTGGAGACTAAATGGATTAGAATAAAACCAATTTAAGGGAAAAAAGCAATGTTCACAGAAACAGAAATAGAGAGTCCTGCTATCTTGGCTGCCTAAGATCTGCAGGCCTCACCAAGGAATTTAAAAAGTAATGTTTCTTATCATAAGTGACAGAAATATGCTGCTTTCTGCATCAATAGATATGAAGATTAAAGGGTCTGACCGTATTAAACAATTTTGCACAGCACCAGGCACTCTGGGCTGTGCTCTCTGCCTTATTAGCCTTCATCTCGTGGCTATTTCAGGCCCAATTTAAGAATACAATGCAGTCTGGCTTTGCAAATTGACATCCTTTAATTTAAACTGTCTTGTGGGAGAATTAAGAAATTATGGAACAATTATTCGCCCTCACTTGAAAGCTGGATGACATCCTGAGATTCTTGTACATTAGCCATTTGAATTGATTAAGTCACATAATTGAATTACACCTTTGCCCCCATAATATCTTCTGGCAAGTATGTTGGTGTTTCGTGTTGGGAAATGCTTCCATAAAAATATAGCAGGGGTTGGCATTAGTGATTGACCTGGGTGTCAAAGAAAACCTCAGAGCATTGTGGGCTGGCACTTTGAGATTATGTGTGGGAGGTTGATCAGCAGAGCAAGTGTTCCATTTGGAGTTGCAATGGAAGTCCACAGATCAAAACTGTATGCATCCTTCCCTAGTCTCTCTTTGCCTTGTCCTTGAACATTCAGCTTCAGCATCTGGCACTCCTTCCCTAAGTTTTAAATTGCTGGGTTTGGTGCACCTTCCTTTGTCCTGCATGGCTTTCTGGATATGCTTCCACCATAGTAGCTACCACAGTGCTGACAAGTCCTTTTCACCAGGCGATGCAGGTGAGCTGGAAACCAGGTCCAAATCACCTGGGATAGTAGTGGCGCTCCATACATGTCTGCTGGGTGAGGTTTCACCCAGCAGGTGAAAGGCTTCAATTGGAAGCCTCAGTGGTTTAGTCTCTTTTATAACATTGGGTGGAGGAAGGTAGAATCTATTAGTAATTTTTCAAGAATCATTCTTAAGTCAGAATTTTTTTTTACTACTTGTGGCATTAGATGATTTCATCAAGGATTTATTAAATACTAACTCCATCGGTTCAACAACACCTATTAGGCACTTGTTATATACAAAAGCTAGGCTAGGTGCAGAAGGGGAAAAATAGCCAAAACATATTTCCTGTTCTCTAGAGGAGCTCAAAATCCCATAGGGGGTTGGAGAAGTCTGTGCAAGAAATAGCTCTGATGACTGAACAAACGGGGAGGAAGCTGTTGAGTGGTCCAGCACCATGAGAAGGGACAATGGTCCATTCCATTCCATTCCTCTCTGAAGTTTGTCCTGCCTTGGTCTGCCCTGTCTGGTGCCCCCTCCCATGTGGTATATTTGGTACCCAGCAGAGAAGAAAACTTCTAGACTAATGTCCTGTGGTCAGGCTGGCTATGCACCTTTGATTTGAAAACTCCTGCAAAGGAGAGAGGTTTTAAAGCACTGTTTCCCCCACCCCCACCCCCACCCTGACTTCCAACTCTCTGCCTCACTGTGCAGCATTCTGGCTTTTTCTATTCTTTGTCTATTCTGTGTGGCACAAGAATCTCTCTTTTTAAAAGCTCTTTACGTTTTTCTTTACCTTTATCAAAGAACACTCCTGGAGCTTTAAAACCCAAGCACAGCTATCTTCCTGAGTATTTCTGTGTGGAAGGGATTAATCAAGTCTGTCAAACATTGAGCTGTAAAACCTTTAATATTTCTAAAAGGTTTAAAGCTAGCATATTTATCACATGCATCATTGAGAATAATCTTTCTTTTTATAAAAAAAAAATTAAATGCTCACTGTAAAATATTGTGGTGATGAGCACAGTAAGTGAAAGGCTCATGCAGGGGGCCCGATTGTGATATTGGAACGGAGATGCTGGTTAAATCTTTCTCCAATGTCACCCTACTAGAAGCCACCCATCATTTCCCACACATCTAATTTATATGAATGTTTTATACTATGGAATTCTAGAATCTTGGCGCTCAAAGGGAAAGGGAAGTAGGAGAAAGGGTCTATTTTTTGTTGAAAGCCTGCTATGGGTCAGATATTGTGTCTGCATGCTTGAAGTGGGTTGTCACATTTTAATTTTCAAAACAATCCTTAATAGTAGGCACTCTCATAGCTGATTTGTAGACAAGGAAATGAAGATTCAAAAAGTAAAGCAATTTTCTCAAAACTGCATAAATATTCATTTGCAAATCTGAGACTTGACCCTAAGTCTGTCTAATTCTTTCATTAGGTTTATGTGGTAAGCAAATGCCTAGCACAAGGTAGGCCCCCACTAAAGAGTTGCCAAAGTCCTTATGATTGTTAGCCTCAGAGTTTCTGGGGATTTTTATTGGAAGATTGTTATTCTACAGAAAGAAAGTGAAGATAGTTGGGCATGATTCCAGCAATCTGGGATGTGTGTTTTAAGATGTTTAATCCAGTGGTAGTGATGGTACTGCTTAGGGTAGGGAGAGACTCATTTGGGGTTTTTATTAATACAAATATTTTATTTCATTATTTTTAAAGTGCTTTCTCATGCACAGTCTAATTTAATCCACTCAACAGCCTAGTAAAGTAAAATCAGCACTGCTGGCATTTTACAGATGGGGAAACTGAGGCCCAAAGATATGATAAGTCTTGCCCAGGTCATTCAGCAAGAGGCATTCTTCTGGTTCCAAACCACAATCTTTCCACTAGTATTTTTAAACCATTTCATTTTTATTCCTAAGGATTCAAAAACTAAAAAAAAAAAAGTTTTTTTTTCTCATTTTGAAATTTTGTTAATGTGGAATGTACAATTTCAAAAAAGCACTTTAATAGTTGTTTTGATGCTGAATTTCAATTTAATACATTGATGTGAAGTCTTTCACAAACATTATTCTTTTAAAATATCTAAGAGTGTTATATGGTACTTTGTAAGTTCCCACATATAGTATCTTTTTTAGATTTATTAAGGTATATTTGACAAATAAAATAATAAGAGCTTTGAAGACTGAAAGGGCCTTAGACACGCATGATTCTTGTTTTCCGAATTTGACTACTGAATTCTAGACATTGAAAGTGGTGTACCGGAGTCCCAGGCAACAGTCATAGTCCTGTGATAAAAGAGAGGAGAGTCCCTTTCATTCACGTGGGAATGGGTGGTATAAAACCAGGAAGGCTTCGCTGAGGAGGTGGCTCTTGATGATGTCCCACAAGGAGGAGAAGGATTTTAACAGGGGAGAAGATTCAACTAGTGATGCTGGAATAGAGAAAAGGAATGGCGGTGTAGGAAAATGACAATGTGGTCGTCCCATGGGCGGGGCCCCTTGGAGGAAGCCCAAGTTTGTTGTTTCAACACAATTAGTTGTAATTGCATCCCCAGACTGCCACCGTGGCGCTGCTCACACATGTAATTACCCCCCCCCCGCCAGACAGGTGGTGTCTTCTGCACGCCTCCACTTCGTGCCTCTAGCTTTGCATCTGAGCAAGAAGCCTAAACAGAGGTCCCGAGAGTGGGAAGATTTGCAGTTGCAGACTCACCTTTTCTATGAGCATACCTCTCTGTGTTTACCACATATATTGGGAGGGCAAAGAAAGAGATAAAAGATTTAAAAGGAGAAACAACTCTGCCTTTCTAGGTTGCTTTGAAGACTGCGGGCCACTTCTGGAACTCTTGGGTGGGCGACATGTTTCCCCAGATTACATTTAGCAAACTGTAATTAGCATCAGCAGGAAAAGAGAAATGACTGTGTTGGGAAACTCCACTTTTTTAATTTTTATTTTTTTTAATTTTTTGCACAACAGCCTTTGTTTGGAAGGGCTGTTCCCTAGCATTGGGCTTTTCTGATGTGGAGGCTGTGTACAGATGCCCTATTTGGTTGAAATAGGCCTGTTTCTGGGGCTGAAGCTGTTAACTGCAGTAGGGGACAGAAGGTAATTGACGGTCATATTCAGATGGCAGAGTGGGTCCTGCTTAAGTGTCAGTCAGTTGAGATCACAAGGCTCTTACAAGGTTTCCTTCAATCGGGAAACACATAGGAGCCCGCACCCACTTAAGCCCTACTGTCTGCTGAACACCAGGCTGGAGCCTGGGAGCAACAGATGACCACACGCCTCTGGGAAAGGGCATCATGCTGGTCAACAGCAGATGAAGGGCTGGATACACACAGAGTCAGCTGAGGCCTTTTGGGTTGGGGACCAGTGTGTAAATCAAACACTGGCTGTGTTAGTTAGAGTGAGTAATGTAAACTACTACCCTAACCAACAATCCCTCCCAACCTAAGATTTAACACAATAAAAGTGTATTATGATACTTAATGAAATCTTTTAGGAAACCAGTTTTTTGTTTTTTTTTTTTAATATCTTATCTGTGTCACCATCATCTTCGACATGTAGTCTGTCAGGTCTCTGAAGATGGGAAAGAGAGAGGAAAAAGGTCACACTTGGGATATTTTTAGGGGCCATTTCTGGAAATGGCAGACAGTCCTTCCACACATATTCCATTGGCCAGAATTCATTCATATGGCCAAACTTAATTGTTAGGGGACTGGAAAATGTAACTTAGCTATCTGCCCAGGACAAAAATGACATAGTTGAAGAGATATCTGCACTCCCATGTTAATTGCAGCAATATTCAAAATACTAAAGATATGGAATCAACCCAAGTGTCCATCAACAGATG